TCCGCAGATAGCTGGGTTGTCGGATATGTAATCCTAATTTGAATAAAACAGATGCACAAAAAAAATCCAGCTCTGCGTAAAGGGCGAGTTTCCAGAGGGAACCCCAGTGCGTCTGTGCTCCTCTGTTTAATCCAGAGACAATGTTTCTAAGTTCTTTGTTTTATTTCCGCTATCCTCTGGAAAAATGAAGCCACAGCACAGGGTTGCCAGAAAGCAGACGAGAGCCGGATCACAGCCGCACTTTGTCCCGTTATGTGGCGTGTCCTGAAGGAGTTTCTGTGACGTCTGCTGGAATTTGACTCCTGATTCACACCAGAGCAAAACTCCCATCAACCCCATCCACTGGACGGACTTCAAGCATTGTGACATTTATCTTAAAATGTCTGAAAAAGTCATGACTGAATACCAAACCAAGTGTCATTTATTAAGATGCACAATCAAAACAAAACAAAACATTTCACAAAACAGAAGTTGGTTAGGTTTGAAATGATTGAGCTCAAATATTGTGTTGAAAAGTCAATCTGAAATGCTTTTCTAGGACACCCATGTGTGGACTTGAGGAAAACTGGCTTCATTTATCCACCAAAAATCACGCCAGCTGATCAAAGACATTGAGCTAAAATAATTAAGAAAAGTAAAAAGACACATCCTGCAGAAAATACCAATTTCAGAAAAACCTGCTAGTTGGTTAACTGTAACCGTACAACACACTGAAAACTTATTTTAGATTTGACAATAAATGTAAAATCGATATATACAACAATACAATAAAGTAATAAAACGTATTTTTTTCAGCGACAATAGTAAAAATAAATATCAAAAGACATTCCCCTAAAATCCCTGCATCTATTCCCAGCTAACAAAATATATTCTAAGAACGTTTGCTAATGTTCCCTTTAAGTTGTTATGAAAACGTTATTCCAGAATGTTCACAACATCCAGTTTAACGGAACGTTCCTCTGGTTATGTGAATGTTAAAGACGTGTAGTTAGGACACGGTGTTTGGGTAACGTTGCATTTGATTATTTTGCGAACATTGTGGGAATGTTACATTTGAATGTTCTCTGAACCCTCTTAGATGAAAGTCCAACTACTGTACAATGTTTCAATGTTCCATAAATAATGTATAAATTAGTAATGTATATGTTACTAAAGACCAGCCCGCTTGGCTCTCTTTTTTTGTGGTTGTCCTTTTTCTCTATCAAATCTTTTAGTAATCATCATAAATTATATATCATTTGAAAGCTTAGAAGCCCAAGATTTAGCCTGTGAAAACCATTTTGAAATCGGACATTGCGTTACCATGGAAATGGTACTTTAAAATCTTTTGGCGGTCTCCTCCCCCTTAGTGGGCGGTGTCAAGAGTCATATTACAAAATGCATTACGGTCTTTTAGAATCAAACTTTTTTTATAATCTAGACATACAAACATATCATTGGAAAGGTCAGAGTCTCGGGATTCCATATATGGTGGTTATTTTGAGATAAAAGTAATATTGACAGAGAAATCTAGACATTTGTGACAGAAAAATGCATTAAAAAAATTCAATGGAGTTTGGACGGCACCCGGTGGCTGTTTGTGGTATAACTCCCTAAATAAAATCTCACAGGAACCTACATTTTTTTCATATCAACTTCAAATTTGGAACAACTTATTTAGACATAAGGCTTTAATTTTAAACCAATTTTAGAGTAAAACCTGTGTAAGCCTGTTTCCGCCACTGAATAAAAATAAAAGAGGTAATTGCGACTTTTTTTTCTCAGAATTGCGTGATATAAACTCACAATGGCGAGTTAAAAAGTCATAATTGAGAGATATAAACTGGCAGTTCTGAGAAATAAAGTCAGAATTGCGTGTATAAACTCGCAATTGCTAGACATAAAGTCTCAATTCTGAGAAATAAAGTCAGAACTGTGAGATATAAACTCGCAATTCTGACTTTTTTTCTCAGAATTGTGAGATATAAAAAAAGTCCCAATTTCTTTTTTTTTTTTTTTTTTAATTCAGTGCCGGAAACGGGCTTCCATAAAAACCTGTCATGTAAAATATGTATTATATATAAAATTAAATAAAATTAATGTAGTGCATTTTATTTACAGTAAATTTAAACTTCTATAACTTTTTGATACTTTGATTTTTTTTGAAAACTTTTCCACTTTTGCAATAATCTGCTGATGTTCTTCTTTAAAAAGAGACCAACCTTAGGTCTGTATTCCAAAGTGTTCATAAATTACAACAATCTAAGTTTGGATAGTGCACTTTCATGCCTATTTTAAAAAGATGGGGGGTGACATTTAAGGGGTTAAACAAAAGTTATATTAATGTTACTGGAAGAATGTTGCCAGAGCGCTTGCCAAATTTCTGAAAACGTTTTTTTTCATCTGGGTTATTATTTTGGTTATCAGTATATTTTAAGTTTCAAAGCAGATTTGAGCAGTTCTGGTTGTGTTTCACAGATGTCTGGGTTGAAGCTGTTCTGTAACTGGTTGGTTTTGCTTGTGCTTTTAATAAATGAGTAGTGTATCTTATCATTTATATAATCGTTAAACTGAGAGATTTTCATTCTGTTATCGTGAAGTATAAACTGGAATAATAAGCTGTCTTCAATAATCAGACATCTGATCCATTTGCCAAATGCAATCACTGCTTGAATGTGTTCCTGTTGTGTGTCTTTCTCTCTCGTTCAGGCCCAAGACGCAGCAGTGAGCGGACAAACAGAGCCGCTCTTTGTGTTGTGCTCTATAGCCAGTGGAAAGTCTCATTCGAGGCCTGTGTGTCTCATAATGGTTTAATTGAGCTAAACCGCACAGAGCGTCAGAATCAAAGTCTCTTACTGAAGCAGCTAAATCAAATTAACATCTGATCTGGTGACTTTAGGACCCAGTGAGAACAACTGAACCAGCAAATGACAGTTCTTTTGTAGTCATCGTACAGTAAGTGAATATCTGACATGTTCCAGGTTACATAATTATGAGGTATTTATTACTTTAACCGTTGACTTTTGCTGACACATGAAAGTCAAAGAACACTACCAGTCAAAAGTCTGTTTTTCTTTATTATGACTTTTTCACATTTTATAGTAATACTAAAGTCATCAAAACTATGAAATAACACAAACGACATGGTTCATGACAACGGTTTTATATTTATATTGTCTATATTCCAGCTCAAGAGTTTATTTACTTCCAAACATCATCCTGGCTTGAGACCTGAACACATTTGTTATATTTATCTATAATATCTGAACATGCATGATCACTATTTAAAGGAATAGTTCACCCCAAAATGAAAATGTTGTCATCATTTACTCACCCTCAAGTCGTTCCAAACCTGTATGAGTTTCTTTCTTATGTTGAACACAGAAGAAGATATTTTGAAAATACTGGTAATCAAACAGTTGATGGTCCCATTGACTTCCAAAGTATTTCTTTCCCTACTATGGAAGTAAATGGGTACCGTCAGCTGTTTGATTACCAGCATTCGTTCAAATATCTTCTTCTGTGTTCAGCATAAGAAAGAAACTCATACAGGTTTGGAACGACATGAGGGTGAGCAAACGATGACAACATTTTCATTTTGGGGTGAACTGTTCCTTTAAGAATGAATGCTTGTAGTTGTGCCCTGCAATGACTTGAATTAGTCACTATGTGTCAGTATTGTACAACTTCACACAAAATCTCGAGCTCTCAAAGGGGAGTTGTGTTGAAACGTGTTTAGAGAGAATACAGTAAAGACTGGAGAATATTACAGTGATCAACTATGTAAACAACTGTGTTTTTTTTATTATGTTGAACACAGAAGAAGATATTTTGAAAATACTGGTAATCAAACAGTTGATGGTCCCATTGACTTCCAAAGTATTTCTTTCCCTACTATGGAAGTAAATGGGTACCGTCAGCTGTTTGATTACCAGCATTCGTTCAAATATCTTCTTCTGTGTTCAGCATAAGAAAGAAACTCATACAGGTTTGGAACGACATGAGGGTGAGCAAACGATGACAACATTTTCATTTTGGGGTGAACTGTTCCTTTAAGAATGAATGCTTGTAGTTGTGCCCTGCAATGACTTGAATTAGTCACTATGTGTCAGTATTGTACAACTTCACACAAAATCTCGAGCTCTCAAAGGGGAGTTGTGTTGAAACGTGTTTAGAGAGAATACAGTAAAGACTGGAGAATATTACAGTGATCAACTATGTAAACAACTGTATGTTTTTTTTTAAATACATTTTCTTTTACATTCATTTATGCCCACTCATTGCAGGGGTATATACACTACCGGTCAGAAGTTTGGGATCAGAACGATTTTTAATGTTTTTACAGGGGTTCTTATGCTCATCAAGGCTGCATTTATTTGATCAAAAATACAGGAAAAAAATGTAATATTGTGAAATATTATGATGTAAAATAACGTTTTTCTATTTTAATATACATTAAAATGTAATTTATTTCTGTGATCAAAGCTGTATTTTCAGCATCATTACTGCAGTCTTCAGTGTCACATGATCTTCAGAAATCATTCTAATATGCTGATTTATTATCAGTGTTGAATAATAAGTGTTGTGCTGCTTAATATTTTTTTGGAACCTGTGATACTTTTTCAGGATTCTTTGATGAATAAAAAGGTTAAAAAGAAGAGCATTTATTTAAAATAGAAATCTTTTCTAACAATATACACTACTGTTCAAAAGTTTGGTGTCAGTCAAATTTTTTTTTTGAAAGAAATTAAAACTTTTATTCAGCAAGGATGTGTTAAATAGTTAAGAAGTGATAGCAAATATTTATATGGTTAGAAAAGATTTATATTTTGAATAAATGCTGTTCGGTTTAACTTTTTATTCATCAAAGAATCCTGAAAAATTATATTTGGCAGCACAACTGTTTCTTAATTAAAAATCAATTAATACATAAAACTGAGTGCAGATGCGTAAAACAATTGGGGTATTTAAGAAATAAATAACTAATCTCTTATAATATGGTCACCCTAATGTGATCTGTTGAGATGTAGCCGGGGGTCAAGTTTGTACCAAAAACAAGTTTTATTGACAGTTCTGAGTTCAAAATAATGGTAAACATGTTTATAACTTTCTGGAAGATTAGAAGGAACAAGATCAGTTAAACATTTTGCAATTTATATGAAATACAACAGCTCAAAACTGAAGAACTAGACGTGTTTTCAACATGCAACCATTTAAACAACGAGTCCTTAAACTAAAAATACTCTAACAATAATATGCCTAGTTTGCAAAGTCCGACATGCACAGGAAAGGACACGCGACGCATCTCGGTATCTCACACCATCGGCTCATCCGGGTCCACATGCGTCGCCGCCCTGCTGGAGAACACGTCGGCCAGCATGTGTTTGGGAATCTCGGATCCGCGCACGCGCAGGGTGTAGCACGCGTCCTCCACCTTCCCCAGGCTCTGCCGCAGAGTGTGCAGTTTCTTAGACACCTCGTAGGGTCCCGTGTTGCCGATGTAGGAGAAGCCGTCGTGGATTTGCCGCAGGAAGCCGCTGAGCTGGAAGGGCGTGTCTATGTCGCCGTTGCCCACGCTGCTTATGCACATGCGCATCAGCTCGCCCGTCAGGTCCGCGACACCCAGCAGGTAGTCGATCGGCGTTATCTGGAAGGTCAATACGCTCGGGCCTGTCCATGCGACCTCACCTTCACCCTTCAGAAAAGAGACAAGCAAACAATGAGTTTATACTGCCAAATATGAAACGCCAAATATTTAACACACAAAACTACCAAATAATTATAACTATTAACTAACTGCTTGATTTTTACCGTGCATTTCTGCCATATGGACATCAACTTGAGATAGTTATCACCACTGATAAGCTATTACTAAATATAATGTAGAAACTTAAATTTTCTGTAAAGCTGCTTTGCAACAATTTGCATCGTGAAAAGCGCTATACAAACAAACTTGAATTGAACTGAATTGAAATATGGCTTCTAGAACATTAGTATTCTAACAAATAAATGAATGGCTGATCAATCTGGTAGTGACTAGGGTGGCATGATTAATCGAAATTAAATCGTAATCGCGATTTGGCGTATCTTTCAGTGAAGCGAGGTTCTGGGATCAGTAGTAAATCTCTATCCGAAGGCTAGAGGGCGCTCTCACGCTGAAACTCCAAATATGATCACAAAAAATATGCATAACAATTGCATTCGATTAATCGTGCAGCCCTAGTAGTGACCTAATCTTCAGTATGACCAAGAGAGAGCTGCAGCGATTATACATTTACGAGTTCAACACACACGAACAGAAAGTTGCAATTATCTCCATTGCTTTTTAATTCATTTTACATGAAAAAAACATGCTAAAACAACTGCAAAAAAGTGGTGCACTTCCTTTGTATTTTTGTCTTGTTTTCCAGTGCAAATATCCAAAGATTTTTGAATCAAGATGTATTTACTTGAAAAGAAAATGACATTATGTGAAACTGATCCAAATAGAGTGCGTTTATGGTTAAAACATGAACAAATATCTGCCAGTAGCCTCAGAAAAATCTACTTAATTCGAAGGGAAAACAAGTTAATAATACCCCACTAACAGACATTTGTTCTTGTTTTAAGCATAAACTCATTTAATTTTTTATTGAATTGTGTTCAATTTGGCAAAAATAAGACAAAAATACTGAGGAATGTTCTTTTTTTTGTAGTGCATGCAACATTTAATGCCATGACTTTGTGAAATTAAGGCCCAATCCCAATTCTATTTTATACCCCTTCCCCTACCCCTTCCCCTTGTCCCTTGAAACAGAGTGTCAAGGGGTAGGGGTGAAAATATTCCCCTAAGAATTGGGACACCACTACTATACTGTCACACGTCATCATACGTCGTCTAGCTCCTACAATACACACACCTATACTGGTGTGCTGGTGTGCATTAGAGCCTTTAATTACCGTTCTATATTAATGCGCTGCTTACTGACACACACACACACACACAAACACATATATATATCGGAGATCGCGCAGCTCACACATCCAGGAGCAACGAAACTTGTCAATGTTGCCCCACGACTTTCATTAATAACAGTTTAAACACTGAATCGCTACATTATATTTTCTAGCAACAAGAGGATAAAATCGCTGTTTTTTTTTTTAAGTAAACTCATTCTAAAAAGAGAAAGGCACAGACGCGCATACACGCAACTTTCATCTCTCTCTCTCTCTCTCTCGAATTGGCAGGCAATATTTGAGAAAAGGGTTTAGCGATTTCTAATTATTGGGGGGACTAGCCCCCCTCAATGTCT